CTATTTAATTTTAGAATGGTATTTTTGAATATAGTTTTTCTTCTTCACTAATTTATTTTTCATTAAATTTAAATATTCTTTTTGAAAATACAGTAATTAATAAATATTAAAAGTAATTTAGCTACAATTCACATATGAGTACATTCATGTTTTATCTCAAGGTAATGACATAACTCCAATCTTCCTACCACGTTCGACAACAATGGAACAGCTGTTTAAAAAACGTCCGGTTCCTTTGTGTCACCCTGTATATACTAGCAGAGTACCCGTCCTTCGTACGGGGTTGGAATATTAGTATAAAAAGCTTATTGCAGTTATTCTCAAGCTTTGCGTTTGCAATAAGGGAGGACACAGTTTGATAAAATTAGCTTTTTTAAATGTACAGTATTCTATAGTATTACACATCTACCATAGCCATAATGTTCTACCACTTCACCTAAACAATAGAGAAAAATAAATTATCAACAATTTGCAAAATATCACAAATTATTCATGAAATGAAAAACATAAACATAACTGTAAACAATCCTACTTTGACAGTTCTCATTGTGAATCATAGTTTTTTGTTGCTGCTTAGTTCAAATTAGCTGTTTTCATAAAAGCAAAAAAAATATAGTGCTGCACCCTGTTAGTAAATCTTATAACTTTTTAATGCTTTTTTTCCATATCATAGAACCAACTTTTTTGGTTGAAACAGCTGACTAAATTCTTTAATTCCCTTTAAATATGAATACTCATAAGGTTAACATGGGGAATTACAGAGCCACTGGGGCGGAGCCCTAAAGGATTTTTGAGATAAAGCTGGGTTTTCCTAGACGCGGAGTCGGCCAGCGGAGAGCGGACAGCGGAGAGCGGACTCAGCTGGTCTTAGGTAATTTAATGTTACTGTTTTCCTAGCAGCGGAGCGGAATGCCATGTTAATTTCAATTCCGCTCTCCGTTGTCCGCTCTCCGCTGGCCGACTCCGCGTCTAGGAAAACCCAGCTTAAGAACATGCCTATATGTTAATCGGGAATGTAAGCTATCATCATGCCAAATTTCAGCCCAATCCGTCCAGTGGTTTATGCGTGATTGAACTTCAAACAAACAAACAAACAAACAAACACACAAACTTTCACATTTATAATATTAGTAAGATATATATATATATATATATATATATATACATATATAAAAATTTGAACGAATAGTGTTTTTGGCCTCTGGGGACATCAAAATGAAAAAGTAAATAGGTCCCGGGTCTAGGTCTTACCGTGCCATCTACGGTAATAGCTACTTCCCTATAGGGAAATTCGCTAAAAAGATACGATGAGTTAGCTATCATTTAGTGATGCTATCGAACAAAAGGTTGGCGTTGCGTTGGATAGTAACAAGAAAAGGGATTGGACATTCCCTTACAAAAAACTTTTAAAAATGGTGTCAATGGTGTTGAAACACAAAACATTCAAATGATGATAAAAGTAATCATTTATGCTATTTGAATGTTCCTTTGCTTGACATATTTTGAAGATAAGTTCAAATTTTTAACGGCTATACTATCACGGCAAATATAGGAGTTGGTGACCTCTAAAAGTGTAATATCCCTGATAGGCTAGCTTAAGTTTGACGATTGACTAAACAAATATTTATGTTTTGCCTTGACATTTTGTTAAATTTATTGTAGCTTTTTTCAATACAAGCCATCACAAACATTAACTAATAATAAACGTTCAAGAAATGTTTAATTTTTCTTGATGTAAGTGTGATTTTGCAGATATCACTCTGTTGACGTGAGTGTGGCAGTGAGTACGGACACTGGGCTTATCACGCCGATCGTGTTCGAAGCAGACAAGAAAGGACTCGTAGAGATTAGCAATGATGTGAAAAGGTTAGCCAACAAAGCCAAGGAAGGTAAACTACAGCCTCAGGAGTTCCAGGTAAGATTTAAAATCTCAAGTTGCAATGTAGAAACACCTTCGTTAATGAAATAGATGTTTTGTAAATTTGGCATTTGTTATATCTTTAATCTTATGTAAGTTACTTCATTTCCATTTCCCATGTAATATGGTGATACAATCATAATACATCTTTTAAATGACCTAATACATAATTATTTCTGAATTTTTGAAATTTGTTTTCTTTTTGTGCCTACCATAAAGATAGATTGACAATATGCCATATATAGACTTTCCATAGTTCTTGTGTCATTTAAGTATGTTTTTATTTTACATATTTTTGGTGTACAGTAATGACTCTGAATTGTTGTTGAGCAATATTTGACCAAAAAACAGGTGTTTACCAAATTAATTTGATAAGTTATTCAATTTGTGTTTATGTCTGTGTGAGGAGAAATATAATATTCCAAAATACTTGTTTTAGGGTGGCACAATATCAGTTTCAAATTTGGGGATGTTTGGAATCAAGAACTTCTCTGCCGTAATCAATCCCCCTCAAGCTTGTATACTCGCTGTTGGATCCGTCCAGAAACGCATTATTCCAGATAAAGAATCACCCAATGGGTAAGTCTTCACATTGCATTTACAGTAAGTGGGTTTTTGTTATAAAATCTTAGAAACATCTTCTATCGATGTTCATTTTTTTTTTCTTACTAGAGTGTATTTTTGTTTTTATAACTTATCGATCGACCATGCATCTGTTCACCATTGCCTTTGTAATGAAGAATGTTTTATGCAATAAAATACTTATACATAACAACCTAAACCCTAAGAAAAGTCTCGCACTGTCTAAAACTAAATGAAGGAATCTTAAAAAGTTCCAAGTTTCATAACGTGCTCAGACTCAGCGTACCATTTCCTAAACAAATATTGAACTTTTCTAAAATTGTGTCTTCAGACATTACGATATGATTTGGTTGCACCGTAGTTTGTATATAGTACTTCAACATTGAAATCCTCATTAATTTAGTTGTGGACATTATGGGACTATGAAACACCCCAATTATATACTACTGCTTGAGTCAAAACCACCAATCACAATTGTGTATTTATGTTCCACAGTAAGACGGCAGACATTCTCTCCGTGACGCTTAGTTGCGACCACCGCGTAGTGGACGGTGCCGTCGGCGCACAGTGGCTACAAGCATTCAAGAGTCTACTAGAGGACCCACAGACAATGCTGTTATAGATTGGACAATACTGTATCTTTTAGTTACCTCATCCGCCTCTGTAAATAATCCTTGTCGTGTTTGAACACATTTTTATTTTATACGCAAAACCTAATTAGCTTTAAAAACTGCCATGGAATCACAAAACTTTATACGGATTTTATTTTAATGCAGATTAAATGTATATAGGAAAATGTATCATTGTTAAAAATAAAGTTGAGAGAAAAATTGTTAAACATGTTTTAATGAGAATATCCTTGTAAAATCTGTCGATATAGTATAGTATTAGATAATGCTCAAGTTTAGTTTTTATCAAAGATATTATAGTGAATCATGCATTATTCAAACTTCCCTAATTCAGAAACCAATGAATTGTTATCGGTTGAATTACCATTTGTAAATCATTGTTGAATCATGTAAATAGACGTAGTACATTTTTATACTAGGTTCGAGATTGTTGGATTATTAATGTATGAAAACTAGAGTTACACAACAGCAACAACATAAAACTAGGAAGTTGAAGAATCAATTGCAAGTTATGAACCGTAACCTAATCGAGTCTACAGCCTCCTCACCATTCTCAATGTCAGCTGGGCCCCTTTACCATCGACTAGTTGCCTTCTCGCCTTGCACTCCATCCAACAACCCTTGTTTTGTACAGTATGGTCAATCAGATGATTAATTATAGTGAAACTCACATTGTACACTTAATGAAAGCACTGTTTTCATTTTTCCAGATATTTCGCCCCTCAAAGGACTTTTCTGAATAACATGGCAATGGTAAATGCCAAGTTAAATGTTTTCGTTTTGTGAACTTCTGTGTGCTGAACGGTTCAGAGTTCAACGTCTCCTCCCCTCAACTGGGGTGTCAAACAGATTTTTTGTCAGAATCACATTAACTGCCTAAATATTTTCTTAGGGAAGTTATTTGGGTACCTGTTCCTTCTTTCTTTGAGGTATTCATTAACTTCTGTCGAAATGTTAAAGCTACAGAGCTAATAAGAACTACAGCCAAGAGTTAATACAAAAATATGTTAGACACAAGCTGAAACATTTCAATATACTTGTTTATTGAAATAATTCCCATCGAACTAGTAAAAGTAATAGCCATTGAATGAACCTTTTAGATATCAATTTAGCAAACAACAGACACGAGGTGATCACGTTTGTTCACCAACATTAAGTGTTTTTATTTGGTAGTTTTCATTAATGCAAGAAAAAAATAATATTTTTTACCAAGGACTGGACCGAGGGTTTGCAGACCCTTGATCATGTTTTATAAGTTTAACGCTTAGACAACAATCACAGTTAATAAATAGTTTTTGTCTGAGTTGCAAATGCCGATTTTCACTTCACTGTAATTGTAGCTACAAATTATAAATTATTTTGAAAAATCTCAAAACCTATGAACTAAACATGGGTAGTACAATTTTTGAATTTTAGTTTCATTGTTGGTCATCAACAACAATAAAGACAATATTGTTGCCACTTATCAATGAATACAAACCTTTTAAGAAGTGAAATGCTTATGGAGAATATTCAAACTGGAATTTTGCCACTCTCTCTTTCTCTCCAAGCCCATTCTTTGTCTTACTCAGTCAGCTGACTTGGCCACACACTCGCTTTAGTCTACATAGCAGCCGCCTTGGGAACTATCAAATATTCCCAGACTGAATTTTTAACAAAGGCATTGTGCTTCTTATGTTTTGTATTCATTGCACTTAATAGTTATGAAACTTTAGAAAGAGTTTTTAGTTTTGTCTGAATCAGTATCTTATTTCCTCCAAAAGGTTTGGAAATGATTGCATATTACCTTCAACCTGCAAAACACTTTTAGTCTTCACATGACCAGACATTCTGAAGCTGTAATATTACAGTATGGTTTAAAAAATCACCTCTTAGATATACGATATAATTTATTTTATATTCTAAAAGTATAATGTGTGAAAATCCTTTTTACATGCATAATCAAAAACCAAAAAAATTAAAAATTATATAATAGTAGCCTAATACCATTTTTAAACTAGATTCTCACAAAATGTTTCAAGATGAACCTAACCCAACATTTTCCTTTGTTTATTCTATGGCTTCTATTTTCTCTCCTAAAACATTTCCTTGTAATACAGGCAGAGTTTTTACAATAAAGGAGGTGGGTTACAAAAAGACGACTTGCGATTCAACTCACAATATAATGAACAAAGGTGCAAAATTGTAATGATTTGATGCAAACGTACTTAAGAGATAATCTCGTCTAATTAAGTGACTAGAAAGTAAGTAAGCCTGCTTGCATAGTAAGCATGTCTAACAAGGGTCAATCCCTGGGCGAGGTCAAGCGGAGAATCTTGGTTTCTGTTCCGTCTTCTAGAGAAGATCCGTGAATCTGAGGTAGCTCTGACGTTCCGCTAGCTCCATCATCGCTCTTGAGGTACTCTCATAGATCTAAGCACTTTACTTTGCTGAAAAAAAGAACATCAGTGAGCAACGTTTACATCGGAGTTTGAAACACATGTTTTAAAATTGGTGATGGTCGGATCCGGATATTGGACTACCGACTAAGTTATAAACAGTTTTTCAAGTTAACATCAGTAATGTTTTCCAAAAGAGGCGGGTAAAGATTTATATCTTTTTAGAATTTTTTTTACAGGACTTGACAAAGTGTGTTTACGTCAATTTCACAACACAATGTTTAAAAAAATGTTGGTATGTAAACTTGTAAACTACTAGTTAAAACGTAACTCAAGAATTATATTAGGCCTAGACGTGGAAAGAATTTACCTAGACACAAGAAATGCAAGGGACATTAATTAAAAAATAATTGTTATTGAGTTTTATTACGCAAGGCTTAAAAAGTTCAAATCAAATAATTCTTTATCCGTTATATACAAAATAACATGTATTGAATAGAGTCAAATAGGCTTTAAATACATGTATACAACTATGAAAAAGTGCTTAAAATATATTTTTATATTTACTGTCAACAAAATAATCTTGAAAAAGTGAAAATTTCTAACTGAATATTTAAACAGAAATATAAAATTATTGCAATCACAATAACATGAGCAGTTGATAACATAAAAACATACATCCATTTCCCGGGCTTAAATAAAAAAAATAAAAAAAAACAAAGTTGTTTTGGGAGGAAATATAGCAGAAGAAAGCTCTTTTGTAATTTGTTTATGTAAGATAGCCAGTCTAGATTTTGTTTAGTTTAGACAAATTTATTTAAATTATTCACAATTTTTGTGACGATAGCAGGATTAGGCCTACCTGACGCCATAAAATTCTATAAAACATTTTTTTATATTCTAAAACCAGCTAAAAATATATTATAGGAAGGGGGCATCTAGTTCTAACCATAGACAAACAGTTTTTAGTTTACACCATTCAAAATACATTTATGTGTGCTCATGGATAAGATTATTTGACTTGAGAGATGTCAACCTACCTGGTACTCTGTATCGGTGTCCATGATGCCGCACACGGCCACCACCTGGTAGTGACGGGCCTTCATGTTGGCTAGTGACCGTCGTATGAGCCGCATGGCCGACACCGCAGTGTTGGTGGCTCGCAGCTCGCTCATCTGCTGCGGAGTGTGGCTCGGGTCTAGCACTAGCAGTATCACCGTCTCGTCCCGCAGCACTTCCACACCGATGATGGTCCGACTGTGACCTGTGATCATAATTGGTTATGTATGAGGGGTCAATGGCTTTGAAACTAAAGTTTCCCTGCGTGTTAAAACATATTTTGTTTTGAATTGTAAATAAAGGGGATAAGAGGCTAGCTTTCCTTGGAAGAATTGCAGGTAGGCTATGGAACACACAATATTTTGTCCCCTAGGGTATGTCAAGTGTACAGAGTGTTCACAAATAACATTTTTATGCTACTTCCTTTTATACATGTAATTGTTTGTATAACAAGAAATACCGCACAAAATAAACTGTAAGTGTTTTGAGACTTAAACCAAAAGAGCTTGAAAGGGGAAATTTTTTCGTTGTTAAAATTTAATGACAATATTTTTAACTAAATGAAATGAAAGACAAAATTTGTTAATTTATGAGGCGAAGTTAATCTTTTTTGGAGTGTAAATAAGTTATAATTAGTTAAGTGTAAATAACAATTCTGTCATTGCTATGTGTCTGTTTGGATTAAAATACATAACTTTATTTTTGCATGCAATTTTACTGCATATCCGACTATTCTTAACGATTTGGTAATCCAAACAGGGCTGGATCACAATTGCTTTAGACTCTAGTGTGATTGTGTTTTACTCTGAAAAAGAATGCGAAGCATATCCCAAGTTGACTGGTAAGGAACTATTTTTTTGCAATTTTTAGTTGTCATACTCTTCAAAATTTGAGTATTAACTTTTTGGAAAACTCAGATCAAATTTTAATTATGAATAAAACAATAAAACGTTACAAAGATGTAAATTTTCTCAAGATATTTGATTTGGATGGGTTAAAAATTACCAAATAAAAGGGTGGAATTATTTTTTCTTACCTTGGTGTTGTAAGTAAAGAGGAGGCTTAAAGTCATCATGAGCCTCGAAGTATTGCCGCACCCAGTTGAACAGTTCCGGGTGACTGCCGTTGGCACTTGTAGGTCTATGGAAGTCTACCAACTGGCATCTGGAAACGACAGAATATATTTTGAAAATACCGATTTCAAGACAGGTTTGAACTCAACCTATCAATTTTAGTACAGTAATAATGAGACCACTGAACTATTTATGTTGTGTTAATTTCTTTGAGGATGGAGATTGAGATATTCCTTTCCATATCCAGTGGCAATGATTGAGGGGTTGGTTGCACACCCCATTTTAAGAGGAATAGATCAATAAATTATTGTAATGTTATGCATAATATAACTTCATGCAATCGGGTGGTTTTCACCCCTGACGTCTAAAGGTCAATCGATGCCACTGGCTATGTTTATTCTGAACCTAATCAAATCAAGCTTTTAACAATTATATGCTTAAGTTTTCAAAATTCATTACTATGGAAGACCTACATGCCATTCGTACAACAGTGTTAAAAATATATAAACACTAAATGTATTTAACTGGTAGTGGTTAGAGAGTAATGTGGTCACACAATAGAAATAAAATAATGAAAACATTAGTGAAATACATCTACAAGTATACTATATATATAGCCTGAATTGTAAATTTAAAAAAAATGCATAAATATAATGAAAGGTTGATTTCATTACCTTATTCTTAAAGATGATAAAACAGTGACAACTTCAGTAGCTCCAATCCACTTACGAGTGTTTGACAATTTGCCTCCGAGCTGGTCGCAGCCCTGTAACAAGCACGTCAGATTTACGATCAGCCACTCGCTGTTCTTTTGTTAGAGGCTAACGTGGGTAAAGTAAATTCTGATTGATGGAAAAAGAATGTCACAATTTAAATTGCTAGCTATTAGTAGTTTTCTAGAAAAAATCAAGAAGGCATAAAAGATGATGCAGAAACATAGTACAAGTGGACAGAATAAATGTGTCTTTATGTTCAGTTTTTATCAATCAATCAATTTATTTATTGAACAAAAATTGGTTACACTGCATGTTACACAATAAGTGCAAAAACCATACGAGGTTTGTATCTATCAACATATTAATGAAAATATATATTTTATATATATACCAGCAGAATACCCATGCTTCGCTACGGAAACTTTCAAATTGGTTGAAGTTTTTAATAAATTACCTATCGCCAACGAGCTATCTCCTTCATAGTCTATTTTCGGATATGTTATTGCTGATAGATTTTTCACCATCCAATGAATCTTCGCGAATGTCTTTCAGGATGAGTTTGTTCATACTTTTTGATTATGTTCTTCACCTGCTTTTTCCTTTGTTTGTCCGTGCACCTGCTACGCCGTTTACGCCTTGATGTATTTTGTTGAGATTACGGGATCGGTTGACAATTGGGAGAAACGGGCTCTTTTTGTGGCTATAAAACATCGAAGTGTCAGCTAGACAGGGATTGTGTAAATCTGAGTATCTTCACGGAATTACGTTCATCACCAAACTTGATCTTGAAACTTGTCAGTTGTATACAGGGTGTTCAAAAAAGGTGGGGACAAAATTTGGGTACTGATTCCTTGGGTCAAAATAAAGATAAAATCAAGAATAATTTTTTCCAAAGTCACTCTGTTAACCAGATATCCGCCCTTTTGTATTTTGCACATTTTTATCTTTTGAATTTTTTCAACGGATCTTTATGAAACTTGGTATGTAGGTAGAAGAAACCCATTCTAGAAAAAATATTCATCTTGATTCAACCTACAATTTCAGAATGACGGCCATTTAAATCTTTCAAACTTAAATTACTCAAAAATGGGTGATTTTATAAAAAAATGTCAGGAACACTTTTATTTAGTATTTTTTATTCCCTATCAAACGATGCCAAGTCAAAAAGATCGAATGAGAAATAGCTGAAATAATACGATTTTTATTTGTAACATGGGGTAGAATAAGGCAGAAGCTAGGCAGGTTTGCCCCATTTTACAACTAAATTCGTAATATTTCAGCTTTTTCTCTTTCGATCTTTTTCAACTTGGTATCGTTAGATAGGTAATTTATTATAGGTTATTTATTGTCTTTAAACTTCCACTGTAAATTATACCATGCATACACAATTTTAATGGAGAATTAATGTTATCATAGAAAATTATAAAGTTGACATTCTAAATATTTGTTTGTAGTCTCCTACTTATGTGAACATTTCAACCAACAGAATGACAAAAGTTCAAAGTATTATATTTTTTACCAAACTAAAACTAAAATAAAAGTTGGCAGTATCTTATCTGACCTGCAAGTCAAAGCCTTGGTGCCACGCCCACTCAATGTGATGCTGCAATCGGGAAATGGAAGGCATGGCACTGCGTGACGGCATCTCTCCTCTCACAGCCCCCGCCACGGCCCACTGCTTGTACAGCTGCTCATTGTAGCCTGTGTGCTGCAGTAGTGAGGACAACATCATCTGCATATTCCTACACACAACACACAATGTAGCTAGTGGTTCGGATTCCACTATAAACTGTAGGTCCCTTAGTTGCAATTACAATAGACTCCCTCTTATCCGGACACCTTTTAACCGGACATCGGTTTAACCGAACTACACTCGGCGGAAATGACATATCTTTAACCGGACAATTTTTATCAGCATATTGGTTTAACCGGACTAGATCGGCAGGAAGTGGGCAGTACTGAAACGACTGTTCTCGTGGGAAAGATTTGAGACCAGTGATCACGTCTCTAAATACAATGCTCTCCTAAATTTAAGTCGAATATCACAGTAAACTGTCCGTTTTAACGAGTTTTTGGGGACGTCGGTTTAACCGGACCCGAGGAGTCCGGATAAAAGGGAGTCTACTGTAGCTATATGGGCTATTAACTAACAGCTGTGTCTAAGGAGTATGTCAGCCTTAGTCACTAACAAGAACAAGACTAAAAGATCGCGCTACTCATCCTAGACTCATCTCCATTCATACTTTGGCTTTTCATAAATGAAAAGTATAATTTATAAGGTACATTTCAATACAGTGAATACCCTATCAACCACTATAAGGGGGGAAAGGCTAATAGTTTGTAGAACCTGTTTTCTGGTTATAATCAATGGTTAAAATTTTAATTTACAGGCTAATTTAGAAAGATGTCAACAACAGTCGTTTTTAAGTTATTATAACCACTATTATGTTCAAATCTACAATTGCACACACAAAATAAATTTGATTAAATGAACAGTTCTTTTTTTATCTTCACAGCGGTTAGCAACTAACTGCCTGTTGGCAGACAGTCCCATCCATTTCACACCTAATTTTACAATTTATTTGAATTTTGCAATATGGTTTCAGTTTCAGTTACCCTGTATTTCAGTTCAAGGGGGAGAGATTGAAAGGGGTTTACTGCAATATTCTACAATCTCCTGTATACATTACTCATTTTCCTTACAATAATGACCCACTAATTCATAATGTTTTCAATACGAAACATGATTCGCTTTTGTGCGCTAATCCTTAGATAACATACATCTTACATACATCTTGCAACAATTAAAAACAGTTTAAGATCAGATAGGGAAATTATTAAGTTTTTTAATGTTTTGATTGTATATTTTATCTTCTCTACTCAGATTAATTTGCTAGTCAGCATATGCCACTTTGTACTAGCCTACCTGTATCCACAGCCCCAGCCCTTGTCTCCGTAGGTGGAGGCATAGTGGTCGACCGTGGTACACATGAGAGTGTGGGCAACGTTGGGACAGCCGCTACTGATAGCGTACACCTGAGGAACTATGTCTGCAACATGCAAATAGTGTTGAAGCATCATCAAAATTAAATGTTTATTACAACAGGGTAGTGAATAGAATGGGTTTACTTCATACAGTAGTCAGTATTAATTTGTTGCTTAACTGCTGCTGCCTTGTATTAGAAGAGACTATGATTATGCCTATTGTGTTAGGTGTTTAGCGATAGAGAAGAAACACTTGATGATACAAATATATGGTGTCTAGCACTGGTCGCTGCTGTCTAGAGCAAAGTCCAACACCAACCCCTTCTTCATGAACTACAGCGCTCACAGAGGAGGAAGACCTTGTACCCTGTGTAATAGGAATTTCCATACAGTGCTCACCGTTCGGGCTCCAGCTTGCTTGTCACAAGTATATTATCAATTATCAAATTCAGGCACACCAAAACTGAAAGCGCAATGTCGTCCCATAAGTACGTTTACTCTGTACCTTACTTCTCTGTAGTTAAAACAGAGCAAACTCATCAGTTTTTGACTGTTATTAGAATAAGAATAAGAATAAGAATAAGAATGCTTTATTGCCGTTACACTGGTTTACATGCATGGCACAGTCAAGGAAATGTCTTAGAACTAAGGTTTTAACTAAGGTTTAATTTTACATCATTTTAGATTTTAGATCAGTGACAAGTAAAAGATTTTAAACTTATCTTAAGTGAGTGTGATTATAAAAACACTTACATTGATAATATTATTATGTATTCTTAGAATATTAATGACTTTATTTCACTGTCAAATTAAAAATGTTGATTTTACAGCTTGATGAGGCAAGCATACTCTTAACAACTCTAACTCTTACTCTCAACTCAACTCTAACGTTTGATAGTGATATATGTACCTTTAGAGCAAGAGCTGCTATCATCAACACCGCTACTCTCAGCCATCCGTAACTCTATTTGTCTCTCGTAGTAGTCGGCCACTGAGAGTTCCCCCGAGTACACAGCTCGCTGCATGTTGGTGAGGCTCTGCTCCCGGAAGTTTCCTTCGTTATCCATCCCATACTGCGCCTAGAAACACAAAAAATTTTGGCTGGAGTTGAAAAAAAAAACTACGAGTGATAACAAGACGGAATGTCAAAACAACCAGATTAAACTGTTAAAAGGGTTAAAAAATTGTTTTTTTTCATTATTCAAATTGGTAATTTTGCAAATATTGCCTTCTGAATTTTCAAATTTTTTGCTTAATATTTTTTGCTTGTAACTGCAATATATAGGCCTAACATTTGAAAAAAATTATTATTGGTGAGTCGGTGGCTCAGTTGGTAGCACCACAGACTTAGGGCCCAAGCCAGCGTTGTCCTGGTTCGGATCCTTCTATTTGCCACTACTTTTTTATCAGTACAGTTAACCCTTGTACTGTACCGGCTACCTAAAAAAAAAGCAATCCAAGGAATAGCCTCAAAGATTAGGGAAACAAAGATTTTTAAAGGTGATTATCTATAAGTATAAAAGAGGATATTGTTTGTATATATATTTGTTTGTTTGTTTGTTTGGCAGGGATAAACTCGGACACCGCTCGACAGATTGTAATGAAACTTTCAGGCATTATTAAGCATTATTCAAGGAAGGTTTGTGTGAAGTTTGGTGCTGATCCGTCAAAAGGGCTCCGCCCCAGTGGCTCTGGAGTTTCCCATGTTAACCTTATGAGAAATGGAATTACTGAATCTTAACAGCTGTTTCAATTAAACAAGTTGGTTCTGTTCTATGATGTTCAATAGCATTAAAGTTACAAGGATTACCAACAGGGTGCAGCACTATTATTTCTTTTACATTTATGACAACAGCTAATTTGCAACCAAAAGGTGAGTGAGCGTAGCGAACGAACTTCAACCTGGAGGCGAGTTAGCGTAGCGAACGAGCTAACCTGAAGGCAAGTGAGCGTAGCGAACGAGCTAACCTGAAAGCAAGTGAGCGCAGCGAACGAGCTCCAACCTAAAGGTGAGTGAGCGTAGCGAACGAACTTCAACCAGGACGTGATTGAGCCATGCGAACGAGATCATCTTGAAAATTAAACGTAACGGTACTTAAATTATAAATAGTCAAAGGCAAGACAACGTCTGCCGGGTTCAGCTAGTACAATTATAAAACTTATTCTTATAGGCCATAGTTTAAATTGAAATAAAGCTAGATTTATAAACACCAATCCAATAAATAAATTAAATGACATAATCACAGTGGATGAGGTTATAAGAACTCCAATACTTATGCTTCATTTGAATAAAATTACTGGTACAAAAATAAACAATTAAAACAAAATTATATTTTGCGAGACGACACACTTTAAAGCAAACACTCACCCTAAGTAGCTCAAACTCATGTTGTTCTCTCAACCTCCTGATCTCTTTGTCTCTTTTCTCCATCTCCCTGGCGAGCATTCGATCACACGAGACGTCTGGGCTGAGCGGCGACATGACTGAAACATAACATGGCTTTTGTAACACTACATTATAGTGTAGCCAAAAATACATTTCTATAAACTGAAATATATATAATTATGCTTGGGTTGGTTTTTTTTTTGTTGTACCTACAGGGAATGTAGGTTAGATTATTCTCATTAAAAGTTTGGAATTGCAACACAGATTCTCGTTTATAAAAGATTATGTAACCAAACAAGGTTCCATATAGTTCAACACGAAAATCATTATGAACTAATGCAGTTGATACACCAAGCCCCTCTAGTCAATTCATTGCCATGCCTTGTTTATTATATTGCTCTGAAATTTATAGTTAACCACTTCAAATGCTTTGACTTGCTTTGATCACCACTTTAATACACAACTCTAAACTCTTTTGAAAAATTTTATTATTCTAAAACTAAAACACTATCATCTAGATTGAGCTACAATGAGGAGTTTCAGACAAGTAATGAATCAATTACTCATGACTGAATCCAAGTTTGTTGGTTTTCCTTTTATTTAATTGTATAGTTTTAACATATTTTATCCTTTTGTTGTATAAATTGGAAAATTGTTGTGTTCATTGAGCAGTGCCCTAAATTATAAACACCACAAAATAAATTATTTTAAGTTGTTTGTTAATGTAGTTTATTTTTCAAGAGAGGAGGTTATAAGTCTGTGTGTTTGTTTCAGATGAATTACCGATTTGACTAGGCTGAAATTTAACACAAAGGTATACCAAAAACCTGGGCCAAATATGGGGCTATTCATGTGTTTATATCTCCTAAGGCTTGCCCTTTGATGTCCAAAGTATCGCCTTGGACATACTTTGGAAGTTATTATGGATTCGTCGCTGTGGTAATAATCAGAAAACAATATTTACACGATTTACTAATTTACTTGATTAATGTATGGTAATTTAAGTAATGATTAAAATAATTTACATTTACTTCGATTTGATTATATTTGTTTTATTCTTCTGCATAGCTGATTTCATTGACTAGAATTTCATAAAACTAACTTATACAGTTGATTTTTGTTTTATTATCCATGGCTAGTCTGTTAAAGAATCACAATATTCTTTTGTGTGTCTTCTCTCTGTTACAAATGTTGGGTAATACTAACATTGACTTTGGAGTCTGAAGTAGACTTCCATATTGTAACCACCACTGTGGCCATAAAAAATACCCCCGCCGCAGCAAACCTGCAGACTAAGCGAATTTCAACTTGTCTGATTACATTTTTACTCAAATATTTCCATAAATAAGACATACTATTTATTCCCTATTTAAATAACATTAAATTTAACAAGTGCTTAGGTTTGCTGCTACGGGCAAGGTAAAAAGTGTTTTTTGACCATACGTGAATAGTATGGGATGAAATAAATAAATTTGCCAAATTTTATCAATATATATCCATAAACAAGTAAACTACAACAATTTTTATTTTCTCCATAAGAATAACATGGGAATTTTAAATTAAACTATTTTTGAATTTTCTCCGTGACCGTTAGGCATACAACAGCGCTTCAATATACTAAATTATTTCTTTTTTTAAGCTCTACAAAACGGTTTAGAAATAAATTGCAAAATTTTTTGTTTTTAGGGTAAAAAATGGGAAAAACACATTTTTACCCCATAAAACCCCCCATAAACCCCTGTTCCCATGGTCCGATTATGCTGGATCGCGAACTCGTTCGAATAAACGTAGGTTTACACGTTTGTACCAAATTTCATCAAAATCGTATCATTTTTGCTCGAGTTATCGCGCTAACGGACACATATATATATATGTATATAAATATATATATATATATATATATATGAATTTGAATGGATGGTGTTTTTGGCCTCTAGGGACCTCAAAATGAAAAAGTAAATCGGTCCAGCGTCCAGGTCTTACCATGAGTACTACGGTAATAGCTTATTCCCTATATGGGAAATTCGCTAACAGGACAAAGAACATGAACCACTTATGGAGTGTTTACAGCCTCAAATTATATTTTACTCTTATTTTTGGTAATATAAGGAAAACATAATCATCACCCTTCAGAGATGCCACAACAGATTCCTCCAGAAAAATGTATTAATATATAAATGTATGTGTTATGGCCAACAGGCAGTTTCAAGAGTAACTGTACCTCCCGCACTTCTTTCTAGGAACCGATTCAACATCGTTTCAGTCCCCACTCTCCCTTGTGCTACCACTATTAATCAGTTGAAGCCTGAAGACTTACGTAGCAAGGAGCCCGCTCCCATGTGTAGCAGTGGATCCACAGGACCAAAAAAATAATCGTGGGTTGAGAAATCCCGTTTTAATCCCGCATGATTTGTTTGTTCAATCCCGAGTGTTATATTTGATGTATCATGTTAAATAGTAGTTTGAACAATCAATATATATAATTCCGTAAGTCAAATTTTTGTAAAGAAATTGTGAGTGACTGGATGGCCGTAGAAGGATGGGAGGGGTCTTATTTTAAAGGTCTTGACGTGAATTTTGAGGGAAAACTATTCATTTTAGCGAATTTCCCATATAGGGAATAAGCTATTACCGTAGTACTCATGGTAAGACCTGGACGCTGGACCGATTTACTTTTTCATTTTGAGGTCCCTAGAGGCCAAAAACACCATCCATTCAAATTCATATATATATATATATATATTTATATATATATTTATATACATATATATATATGTGTCCGTTAGCGCGATAACTCGAGCAAAAATGATACGATTTTGATGAAATTTGGTACAAACGTGTAAACCTACGTTTATTCGAACGAGTTCGCGATCCAGCATAATCGGACCATGGGAACAGGGGTTTATGGGGGGTTTTATGGGGTAAAAATGTGTTTTTCCCATTTTTTACCCTAAAAACAAAAAATTTTGCAATTTATTTCTAAACCGTTTTGTAGAGCTTAAAAAAATAAATAATTTAGTATATTGAAGCGCTGTTGTATGCCTAACGGTCACGGAGAAAATTCAAAAATAGTTTAATTTAAAATTCCCATGTTATTCTTATGGAGAAAATAAAAATTGTTGTAGTTTACTTGTTTATGGATATATATTGATAAAATTTGGCAAATTTATTTATTTCATCCCATACTATTCACGTATGGTCAAAAAACACTTTTTACCTTGCCCGTAGCAGCAAACCTAAGCACTTGTTAAATTTAATGTTATTTAAATAGGGAATAAATAGTATGTCTTATTTATGGAAATATTTGAGTAAAAATGTAATCAGACAAGTTGAAATTCGCTTAGTCTGCAGGTTTGCTGCGGCGGGGGTATTTCTTAATTATGCGCCAAAAGGGTGTAACAGAATAAAATAATTTACATTTAAATAGCATGGGAATCTAATTTTATGTATTTTTATTTAGTGTAAACACAGCTGTGATTATATAAATTGAAAAAAAGTTATAACTACACCTGTGCATATGTTATTATTTTGTTATTGTAAAATTGTTTGTGAAGCAGTAAACAACACAAAGTGAAAATTAGATCAAATCTTTTGAACTGTAAACAATTTGATACTTTTAAGCTTAATACTTTACAATGGATTGTTTTTTTGCACAGTAATGTATAATGTCGAAAAACTACCACGCAGAGTTATTGTTCCTCGAAATGAAAACAACAGGCACCAGATTTGGCACAATATTAATGGAAGAAGAATAAATGAGCATCGGATGAACATGAATTTATTCCTGTGTATAGATTACCACTTTTAAATGAGAGTGCATTACACAGGGTAGGACCAAAGAACGATTTGATTTGGTAAAATTTTGGCACAAGGACAAACCTTCACAAAAGTGGGCATTTATTTAAAAAAACCCAGTGTTTACCCATGGTCAACTATATGTTGCTTTTAGAAAAGTAAAGAGGCCAGATTATGTTAAAATAGTACTAGAACCATATAAAGACCAAGTAATCAACCGAAATGGATACTGTACTACAAAAAACAAATTGTTTCAGAGAGATTTTGTCGTAGAATTAGCAGTTTACAATTTCGATGATGACATTATCTCTATGTGTTTTTCTAAGATAATTTGTCTATATTTAAAGAAATCTATATAGATTTAATTAATAGTCTTAAAGATTGTTTATTGGAAAATGTTCCATAGTTGTAAATTATGATTAGAAAGTTTATATTATAAACACACCGCATGTGCTTTGGAATTTTTATTTTAAATAGAGCAGACATCAAAATGCATTATGCAGGTATGTAATAACTATTATACGTATCATAATTTACAAAAATATTAAATGATAATTCAAGGTAGGGTAATCCATGAGACTAATAATTTGTACAAAATAATTACCATAATATAGGGGCTATTGCCCCTATACAAGCCACTAGTGTTATTAAATTTTGCTACAGTAGTTTAATCAATTGGAGTTAGTTTTTCTCTAAAATTCAGTAGAGAAAATAAAAATAGACGTCATAGCCAATAATCCCGTTTTATCCTGCATCCCGTTTTAATCCCACTCATGGTCTAAAAATCCCATTTTCAGGATAATAATCCCGTGTATGTAAACACTGGGGTATAGCTCATGCTACTAGCTTTCCAGAGTGCAGCTATGTGTGTCGAATATGGTGTATTTGCTATATATTTTATAAATACGTCAAGTAAAGTTTTATTGATTTAATGAACACTTTTATTGATTAGGCCTATACATGGTTTTTATATCTTTGTATTGAACTTATTGTTATGTTTTTATGTTTTAGTAGGATACAGATTTGTTAAGTAATACCATCTGACTAAAAATCACAAGAACCAAACATAAAGTAATTCATTCTAATCTAATATATAGTGACATGCAAAGAACTTTCATGAACATATGATAAAGCGAGTTAGCAAAAATAATTTCAGATATTTCTAGTCAATTTGCAGACTTCATGAAAAATGACATAACAAATTACCTTCAACATTTACACTATTTAACATAATAACAAGATTAGGGTTGGATATGATAAACACATTAATTACAACAATTTAAAACAAATGTATAGGTAGGGCTTAATACGAAAGTTGTGAATTGTGTTAATGTCATATAATTGCATAGTAAAGTAATCAACTAATTGTAAACTATAAACATGAATAAAAATACTCCCTTAGTAGATTTCCCATCCTTATGGAACAGCTGAAGCCAATTTAACACGTTCACTACAGATCGCCCCATATATGCAACGCTGCGGTCATTGCAACGGACCGAGGTCAATATTTTTATAATATTAATTACTAAATTACACATAGACCGGGTATCACTATAACAGCACACGCAGACCACCAGTAAGGTAAAAAACAGCATATGACGTCACTAATCATCATATACACAGACCAAGTGAGACCACTGCAGAGAATTGAGGGCCTTCAAATAGACTGTTACGAAGATATAAGTGTTTTAATAACATTGGGACACCGATGCAAATATGCAAATATTTTAATGTGACCAGCTGTCGCATATGTGCGTCGCTGGTCCATACGAATGAAAGATTTAGAACTACTGTGGTAGCAATAGTGTTAATCAATTAATTGTATTGAGTTTAAAAATCATCTTTACAAATTTTACAACCGTAGGTATATAAACAAATGACTAAAGCAATTATAATTTTTGAATATTATAATAATTGGTAGGTCTACTGTAATTAAAATATAGATCTCAAACTTTTCATAAAATCATTATGTACAAGAGCAGGTTAGCTATGTGTTCATTATATAATGTATAATATAAAGTATAAGTTTTTATTTCCTGTTTGTTTTTTCACATTTGTTTCACTTTTCTTCCAAAAAACAATGGAGTTAATTTAAGACATATATTTTTCATCCATCACTTTATGACTGTTTTTTAGGGGTTTTATAAACTCAGAATAAATTAAAATATGAGTGTTTGATGAAATGCCATTGTAGCTAGCTTTGCCATACTATTGGTTTCATTGTCAGGAATATTATTTAACTCTTGGATACATCAAACAGTTTTCAAGAGTCAAGTGATGTTTTTAATAATTAACTAAACTTTCTTCTAAATAAATAAATCCTCAATCAGGTAGGTGGAAAATGTCATAAATGAATCAAAAGTTATGTGATACAAAGACAGTAAGGAAATGTAACCTTTTATTCTAGACTATCATGTTTTGGAAAAAATAGTTGAAAAACTCAGTAAAACGCAAAATTCAACCATAGCTGGAATTATTTTGAGAGTCAAATGTTACCTGGTACCTTTAAGGTACCTACGTTCCAAATCTCAGATCAGGATTGTACAACTGGAGTTTTAAACAGGACTAAAGAAAACTGTCTAAAGAATTAAACAAAATAATCCTAAAAATTAGGTACGGTAACGAATTCTCTTTTTCTTATTTTTGTCCTAGACATGAGCTTCAGATTGTTTTTCACATTACTTCAGGCTAGACCTAGGGGTTGCGGCATTATCACTTAGATAAAATCCATTGGTAATCTGGTGGGATTTGAACCCGGGATCTCAGGGACCAAAGTTCCGCACTCTACCTCTAGACCATCTCGCTCCCTAAGTATTGATATCACACGTAATCTGCAGCTTATTTAAAAATATATATTTAATTATATATAAAGCCCAATAATGACGTTGGACACAAGCGTATGATTTTCTCTAATTCCAGGAACTGTAATATGTAGAAATGTAATCAATAGTGGTCATAATTTTTGTTTAAATTTAACAAAATTTACCTATATTATCGTCGTTGAAGAAATAACTAGTGTAATTAAGCTTTAGTAAAATTATTGCTAGAGTTGCTTTCAAGATACAGTACATGGACATAATGTATAACCAATGCTTTAAGCTGAAATAAAAATATAATAAGTGCATTTTAATTTGGAAGCAAGCTTTCAAAATTGCCTTGTAAAGTAAAGAATGGACAGTGCAATGCCATCTACAAGAAAATTGAACATTGTAGCATGAACATTTGTCTTTAATACCTTTTTGGTTAAAGTGGTCTTCAATGTGAGCGCCTAAGTCTTCTGTCGATTTGAAATTCATCATACAACAAATTGGGCACATTTCAGTAGCTTTTTCAACAGAAATGTCTGAGCTCACCTGCAAATGTCATCTTAATAGGCGAAACTTCCTTAACACTAAAAAGGTAACAAATCAAAATAAGAAAAAATTTGAAACTTTCTGTGAAATGAAAGTTGGGAAAGTTTAAACAAAAAGTGGAGGAAAATGAATAAGATTTAAGGCATTGACACACAATTATAAGGTTCAAAACAACACCGTCGCAGAACCAAAGCAATATTCACAAACGGACAACGACAACCATGCAATTAGATTATGGCGAGATAAAGTTAAAAATCATGCATGATTATGAATAATTTGTAGCCTATCTGCTACAAAAACAAATAACGGGACACTTGGCTGAATTTTCTACTTAGAGTATTTTCATCCAAAATGTCGGCAGTGAATTTAAAATGTATAATGAAGTACTTACTACCACATGAAACTAATTTTAGAAAAATAATTAATTTACTAAGACGTTACTGTATTCTACAAAGGATTTACTTGAATACACATACAAAGTGGTAAGAATACACTATAGATCTACTTAGAGCATTTCCCTTGTATTAAAACATAAAGTAGGGTATATTTTACTAGGCTACAGGCCTATTGGCTTTGAATAGGGTGTAAGTTAAATAGAACCCCACTAATCTGACCTTCCATTATAACCTTGATTATAATAAGGGATCTTTCATTACAAAACTTGGTATTTAAGCTATTTTATCTTTTAAAAAATCTGATTCATTAAATTATTAAATAAGTTAATGCTTTATCCCATTATGAAGTTATGTTATCTTGAGATTTAAGCACGGCCAAAATATAGTATCGTAGCCTATTGCAGCTAGCAAACTTACAAACCTAGTTAACTAAGAGAGTTCTGTTCATGATTTGAGTTGTTGATCAATTTTAAAGATTTTTACCTAGGGGCTACTTTAACTTTGAATAACTTTTTACTGGCCTAATTTTGTAAAGTTTGGCTTAAATGTGTAGTCTACACTCAAAATTAAAATATATCTCTTGCAAACAGGCGATAATGAGGTTCTATTATTTTTGTTAAAAAAGCTTTTCTTCTACAACAATTTAAAAGTTTATCAACTTTTACATACCCATTTATTTGTCTCGTAATACTTGAATAGGCTATCTTACCTTCCCAGGACTAAGGATGTCTTTATGTTCAATATTGACATGAAGTTCAAGATCGGAAGCATTAAAGAAGTTCTGTGCACAAAGCGGACAACTGAAAGAGCCTGATGGCGTATCGACTGGAAATGAGGGACTAGTGAGATCAAAGTGTTGCCTATTGATATGCTCTTCTAACTGTGATGTGTTTTCATTGCTATAACTACACATGGGGCACTTCTGAAGCCCCGGTGTCATTAGAGAAGCAGACGAACTGCTGGAGAGGTTCAGTGCTAGTTGAGACCTCCTCGGTGACCATCCTGAGGCACCTTCTTTTTCCAAAGACTTCAAATCACAATACGAGTTATTATTGTTGTTGATATTGTTCGGCAGCCCGTTGTGAGGTTTCATGCTGGCGCTCCAGTTAGACATTTCCTCGTGTCTCTCCGAGTCATCATCGTCATCAATAAAAGTAAGAAGTTCCTGTTCCGGAGTTAGGTAATCCAGATGGGCAGTGTTTACATGTGTCAACATCTCATCAGCTGTCACATCTTCAAGGTCACAGAAAGGACATGACGCTGCACCTTTCAAGTGACACATGACGATGTGCACTCTCATCTCCTCATCACTCAAACCATCAGCTCCACATATCTCACAGGAATAATTCAACTCTGGCATTTTTGCCGCCATTACAATCTGCAACGCCATAAGTATTAAGCAATTTTAACTGAAAATCACATTTTGTAAATGGATTTAATACAATTATTTACAACTTACATAATACAGAACTGTTGAAAATACAGTGCCTCACTTTCCCATATAGAATGACATTAAGTTACAGCTATGCCTATTCCTTCACGGTTCACTGAGATTCTATTAAAGTATGAATTGATAACAGTCTAATCGTATAATGGGTCAATACAATACTTAACCATGATAAAAAGTCTATAGTCTTAAAACCAGTTAAAAGATGCACTAACTTATTACATTGACGATTGGATTGTCAATAGGTACTGTACTATCAAAATAAAAAATCATTAAGTACAAAAGTTAATTTTTCCTACCATTTGCAAGATAGACTATATTAAAAGAAAAGTTAACTAGAATACAAGGCAGAAAAAACTTAAACGGGTACACTTCCATATCTGTTGGCACAAACAACCGAATGAGTAATATTGATTATTCGATTGTTTAATTCGATATATCGTTTGGTTAGTTAGGTTAGGTTAACTTTACCTATCTAACCAAACGATATATATCGATCGATATTTTCATTCAGTTGTTTGTGCCAACAGATATGGAAGTGTACCCAATTAAACTTAACATCTTTGCTATTATCGTTTAAGATCAAATAGGCCCTAGCTAAAAAATTATAATTGATCCATACTAGACTATCAATAATTGTATCAAAATAATGAAAATAAAATCTGTTAGGATATTTTATACTTAACCTTTAGGCCTATCAAATAAAAATGTCATCCGATAATATAGCCTATTGGAGGTTTTCTGCGGAACTGTAGGCCTACCCGAGATAATATCTTGACAATACGCTTAAAAAAAGACTTGAAGTTTGAATCATTAAAAAGTTAGTTGTAGTAAGACTTAACTGACCTACATTTCCTTTATTACTGGTATAACTCTACATAACATAATCTAGGGCATTGCCTGGTTAATGTTTTCCTGGTAGGCTATGTAGCACTACTTGTTTAGGAGATAAAAAAAAACAGTTTCACCACATCAATATTAATGGTTGCACGTTTAAGATTTATTAATGCCACTCTGGTTGTGAATCTTCATAACTTAGGCTACCTATACTCCTTATCCTTATGGGCATGGAATTCCCATGCAACATTCCTTGAAGAACAGATTACGTAAAATTATAGGAGTTGCTAATACTTATACCGTAAAAAATATTATGCCCTTAAATTGTTTGAAATTATTGGAGTTTTTACAAACCCTAAATGGCTAAGAAAATCGTAACCTAAAATGGATCTAATAGTGCCATAGACCCTTATTTACGAACGTATTAATGGTTATGGAATAGTTGAGTAAGTGTCTTACCGAAATGTCATGAATAAAATAAAACTAGCAGTTCTATAACGAACAGTTTTCGGATATCAAATAAAATTTGGAAGGAATCCAGTTTAAGACCAATTTTACTGACAGATCCTAACGAGTAACGAGTAAACGAGATCAAACAGCAGTGTTTCCACACGACCAAAAAAATAATCCCGCTTACAGGGTCGAAAAATCCCGTTTTATCCCGCTTTTAAATCGGTGAAAAATCCCGTTTTATCCCGCATGATTGTTTTGGTACAATTTCTAGTATTAAACTTTACGTATCATTTTTATAAGTTGTTTAAACATCACTATTATATTTTGCTACAGTATTTAAACAATTTGAGTTAGTTAATCTCTAAAATTGAGTAGAAAAAAAATAAAAATAGTCGTCACAGCCAAAAATCCCGTTTTATCCCGCATCCCGTTTTAATCCCGCTCAAGGTCTAAAAATCCCGTTTTCGGGATAATAATCCCGCGAATGGAAACACTGTCAAACAGATGGATGCAACTGCAGACGACAGTGTGAAAATTTAACCATAGAGTAAAACTTTTAACTTACAATATCAACTAATCACATTGGCAAGCTAGATATAAATCCATGACATTATTATTATAATTTGTTCTCGAATTTGGTTTTTAAAGTGCGTGCGTGGAAAAAATTGCTGCTTCAACTTCCATGCACTTTTTATAGCTCTAAAAATACTAGATCATGAGAGAAAAGAGAGAGATATACGTAAAAGATAGCCAGAAACTCATATATCATAGTTAATTATTTATTCAAGAGGAGATTGAAGTTTTACGAGAATAGCTATTTTACAATGTGCTACAATAATATTGTTACAATTTAAAAATCGTTGAAAGAGAGTGGAAAGCTTTATGGCATAGAGAGAAGTCAACCTTGCATTAAATAAAGAAAAATCATGTTCCTCTCCTCCAGTCATAGTCAAAGTCAAGTCAAAACTTAACTAAATCGTTCATTGGTTATTGGCATCGAATGATTTTATAAAAAAAAACTAAGTTATTTTAAGGTTAGGTTGTAAGTTCTGTTCTAAGCTAAGTTGTGTACGAATGATCCAGTCCAGACATTAGGTTGTTGTTGTTGTTGAGGTACATTTTTACCGGAAAAGAGCAAGGTAATTATTAGCTTTGTAGTATTTTTAAATAAAACGAAACGAGCCAATTCTCGATCAACATAGGTGGAATATTAGTTACTTATTCAGGCCTAGGGCAAGTTACGGTTAGTTAAGTTGCTGTTTAGTAAGTTAGTAGGCATTGCTGATTAATATCAGGAGTTTGCATCTAAGTTCTAATTATATTATTAATTTATTAGCCAATTCAGTTCACTGAAGGCTCGGGTACAGTTTCTTAACTGGGCTACGCTAATATCGATTGAAACGAGGTATCAATTCGATTAGTAAACCTTCATGCGATTTTTTCGCCATCAGCAAGTTTGGTTGGTTAGGTTAGGTAATGATAGTTTAATTTTATAATAGATATATTTTTAAATATCGATTAACTTATTAATCATATTTTCAATTCGATAGTTTCAATCGATATTAGCGTAGCCCAGTTAAGAAACTGTACCCGAAGGCTCCAATAGCCTATACTTACTCCATGTGATCACAGTTATTAAAATATAGGCCTAACTTAATTCCTTACTAGGCCTAGGCCAGTTTATTTACATGAAAAGGAACCAGTCTGAAAAAACTAGAATTACGACAAAAAAACATCACTACTCTTCAGCGCCTTGGCAGCTGTCTTGGGATCTTCGTACGCTGATGTCTAGAAGGAAAATCTTCAATCTGATGTTCCTACATAGACTGGTCAATGGAGAGATACTCTAGCCGGAGTTGCTTGAGCGAATTGGTTTCCACGTCCCAGGGGGTACCAGATCGAGGGAGCTGTTTGCTAGGTCTTACCATGTTACGATCTACGAACAGCACAGTCCCATCGCTCGCTTGTGCAAGCCCTAGGAAACTCTTTATGCCACCTGAAATTGATTTCTTCAACTGTAGCGCCACATGTTCCAGGAGATTGATCAGCTCGCTTCCACTTGATTAGTAAGGTCCCCTTCACACTGGGCCACCATGGTGGTGACACCGGTGGCGACACCATAGTGGCTACGTTACATTAGCATTGATTTAAATGGGACATCTTCACACTGAGGGTTTTTGGAGCGTCTGGCCGCGCGACCAGAAATGCGGTGGCTCGGGGTTGCGATTTTCAAAGACACCAGTCTGGTGGTGCCACCACGTCGCACTACATGGTTTCTTATCGGACTGTTCACATTGGAGCGACTGGCAGCCCCACCGGTGACTACCAGCAGGCATTACTCATTCTACTATTTTATACTATTTTATCTTCCAGACATCCCAGAAGCTCATCAAAACTTAAAACACTCATTCTTGAGTAAGAGTAAAACTTGTCAGGGTTATGGTCTTGGTTGTTAGTGAAAAAAGTCCCTCTGGTACTTCCATTTCTTAAAAACGGATGAACCCAAAAACAACGTTTTTTTCTTAGGTTTTCGCAATTTCAAAAATATATGTGCTAAAGCACCTCCTTCTTCGACGTCCATGATTACATGGTTAAACTGTGAGCTTTGCGGCTGCAGCTGCATTGGTGGCTGAGCTGGTGGTTCATGCACATGTTGACCTATTTGTGGCCCAGTGTGAATAGGCCCTAAAGATGGCCTATCTACAAGACAAGACTAATCTCTCATTAAATTTCTTAAATGCTTTTTATGTTTTGTTGTCCTCGTTGCTCTTTATTGTTATCTTCGTCCTTATTTTTACTTCATTGTTACTGTATTCCTTTTGTTGTTATTGTTATTACTGTTTGCACTTTGGGTACATTCCTGTTAAAGGGAACATTCATTATTATCGATGATTTCTTTTCGAATAACGAAAAACTATTTTTATTTTACTATCCGATGTATTGATAAGAACAAATTGAAACATATCAGCTGACAACTACGTTAAGGATATAGTAAATATTGTTCAGTATCAACAAACAATAAAAAAATATAGTATATTGAAATGAAACTGTTCTAAACTCACCTGGCCTACCTAACTTGCTGTACATGTCATTTCAAAATTCGGTTTGATAGCCTATTCCCCATATGCCTTTTCTGTTATCAAACGGAATTTTGAAACGGTAACTTAGCCTACAGCAAGTTTGGTTAGTTATGTTAAGATAGTTTAGAATAGTTTCATAGGATACATAGGCTATTATTTTTGCCTAAACAAGGTTAGTTCTTAATAATTTAAATGCGTTTGAAGATATTAAAACAGAAGGAATACGGATCGTGAAGTAAAACAAAAATATCTATATATCGAAAAGAAATCATCGATAACAATGAATATTCCCTTTAACATGAAAGTACCCACTTTTGTCTTTATTTAGTCATTACTCATCAACTCAATAGTTGTATCACAAAAATTGTATTGTGATCCTGTTCCCTAATGGTTTGTCCGTTAAATAAATAAATAAATCAGAGGCGGTTCTAGGACCTTGTCAAGGGGGTTACAAGGTGGTGGTCCACACCACTCATGGAAGGGGGGGGGGTCGGTCCAGGGCCCCCCCCCCCCCCCCCCGCAAACTTAAATTCATTCAATGGCAAATATTTAATATGTCTGCAATGGGATATGAGGTAATTTTTAGATGATAACTTACTGTTTTTTTCATGCTGGATCCAAAAATGCAATCAGTTTTTGTCAGAGAGATGCCTAAGTGGCTGTAAAACGAAGGTTAAAATTACTAGTCAAAGGTTAATTTAACAGTACTGATGGTAATATGGCGTGGTCTGGACGAGTCCGTATGTGGGCTGAGGACTGAGTGAGGAGAGCAAACAGCTGTTTATACTCGACTTAATGCGGAAAGAAATCAATTTGTTTTCAAACTAAGTAATCAGCTCTTATTTAGGCATGTGGGGAAGGTAGGTCGGGTTTTATGTGGATTGTGACTCTTATAAGTGTTTTGAAGTTAGGTTAGATTAGGAAGGTAAAGTTTAGGTTATTTCATTTCATTTCATTTTTATTTTCCACGGCAATGCCATTTACAAAATACAATCAGTTAAGATTATGATAGATTATATGAATACAAAATATTAAATCATGACAAAACAACATTTCATCAGCAATAACAACAATACAATCAATCAACAATAATAAACTATGACATAACAAAAACAAGGCATAAAGAATGATAATAACAATAACAATAACAATGATAAATGTGGTATGGTAGGATGTCTGAGTTAGATCTGTTGTGTTCTAATGTAAGTGGTGTAGTGCTGTAGTATAAGTAGTGTGAAGTCTGGTGTAATCTGTATTTGGATGTGAAGTGTAATAATGAACCGACTCATTAATTTACGTTACCTCCAGACTACAATTGAAATAGTGGGTGGAACACAATGAAATGACAATATCAAAAATATGCATATCGGTATGCCTTCATATGCATGCCCATAAATTAAATGCATTTAATTAAATGGAATTTTTGAAAATTCAGTCAATGAATACGGAATTTTCGATAGTTCCCGTGGCGGCCGCTAGGTAGACTATCGCGAGCGTGGGGCCAAGTCAAGGAGTTTTGCCTCATGCCCTAATGAGTAGACCTAGATATATTCAGTATAACTTAAATATGCGGTTGATAGGTGTGCGGCTTATGGTTTTCGCAGAAGCTCATCATACATGTTAGCATTATAATAGAGTACCAGGAGGACCGAGCGTTGCTTGGCGTCGCCGGTTTACTATTACCTTTGACTATTTCAATAGACAATGCTATTACGCACCAACTCAAATTGTAAGGACTTACTGTCCTCTAGACATAAATCATAAAAAAAATTTCATTTGAATTTCCATTTACTTTTCATAATGGACATTTGCGTAGATTTATGTTTCAATGTATAGGGCCTATGATTTATATATACAGTGGAATCCCGCAAACTCGGCACTCGATAACCCGGCAGTCTGGAAAACTCGGCCATCACCTGGCTAAGATAATTAGTGATTTTTTGTGTCCGAGTTAAACATTGACTCAAGCCAGGTCAAGTCATATAATTCACAACTCTGTACCAAGGATTTGTTGTACTATATCTGATCACTTAATACTGGCTTTTTATATAAAAAAGGCGGTTAAAAAGCTTAAAATTGTATTGATCTTATTTTTAACCCTAGTTCCCAATAATCCGGCATTTCACAAACTTGGCACCCTTCCAATCCACATTACGCCGAGTTTGCGGGACTCTACTGTAGATTTTGACTCTATTCAGATACATGTATGTTTTATATGTGTTATATATTGAATAAAGACTATTTGAATCTTGAATCAACAACCTCTTTGATTTAAGGTTTGTTTATAAATGGCTGTTATATTTATTTATTATTATTTTGTTTAATAATTTATTCTTTTGTTGATGTTTACGATTTTCATCGTTATTTCGTTGCCAGAGTAGTAAGGCTCACTGTTCAAAATTGTTTACTCTCAATTTTCTTTTTTTTATGTAATTAGATTTTTGTTGGCAGTTTTAACTGCATGAAACACGTTTGTAGGCCAGAAATAAATTCTTTACAGCATTTTGAGAAAATCTTTGATGACGTTTTTGAGATATATGTGCAAACAAACATACAAGCAAACATTGATCATATTTAAGGGTATACGATTCTGTACAAATAGGCCTAATCCTTCGCACTAAGTAAGATTTGTTTCTTTAAAAACTAGTTTTTAGACATAACAAAAATGTCTATTTGGTTTTAAGTTTCAATTTAAGTGTGATATAAAAAAAGATATAGCCTACATACACACACCCCTATATATTATAGCCTACAGCTTGTACTTTTGATTTCTCTCTCTATTTTAACAATATCAATTTGTTCTTAGCTTGACCCCAATTCACACAAAAATGTGCTTAGCTGGTAGATAATCAGCTAGTTGCATAATACAATCACTATGTAAGCAGCTCCACTTTTATTTGTGTGTGGATGATATAATATTCACAGTCATTCAACTCAACGGATAGTTATATCTAATTAGATTGGACTTTTTATTTTAATTTGATAAACCCAAGTTGTGGTGGTTAAAATGTTTTCAAAAAATTAATGGGTAAATTGTAATTAAACAGTCCTAACTTAGTTAAAATATTGTAAGTCATACTGCACTAGAAACAGCAGTTTTTAATGCATGAATTGCGGGTTTAAAGTAGCTCTTTTTCTTCCTAGGGAGTAAAAATCAGCTGTTATGAACTCAGTTCTAAACTTTGATTGTAAGCAATCGCATGTACCGGAAGTATGTATGATTTTTTTAGTTTTTATTTGATTTAAAACATGTTTAAGTTATACAATTTCCTTTTTGAACACTCAGGTGCTAGAAAATCTGTCAGTTATACGATACAAATTTGTTACCTACACTCTAAATTCACATTTAAGTCTGATTTTAACAATAATGAAAGTTATTTGTGTTTTTCTTGAAGAGATTTCAAATTATTTTCCAAATTTTTGTTCAAGATTCATAATATAGGTAGGCCTAATGGTATTTTCTATATATAACTTAGTATTAGATTTTCTACATCATGTATCATTGACTAATCAAATACTTTGTTTTGGCTTCCTTTAACTTAGTCTGTTAGTTGTATGTTAAGTTTTGACATGAACACTTTTAAGAATAGTTACTGGTAGCCTACGTCTTATTATAAGACTACGCCTTAAATTCACAGACTATTCTGACCTATAACTAAATAAGTCACTGTCTTAGTGAACTCATTAAAAGTTGAATATAAGTTCTGATATAACAGTTTTAAGGCGAGTAGTTTATGTTGTTTAAGGAAGAAATGAAATCTGTTAGACTATATAAAGTTTGAGTTTTTTTATACGCTTAAGTCTACTATGAGTTCCGTTGTGTTTCAGGATGGGTGACTTGAGTCTGATTGGTCAGCTCGCTAGCACCGTCGGTGCATCAGAGGCGGCGTTAAAAATTTTATTCTCCATTATTTTTGGTAAGACATAAAAAAAAATGCTATCTGTTTGAGTTATGTCATAAACTGCATTTGATCACAGATATGTCTCTTGGCATAACCAATTAGAATATATCTAGTCATTGTAAAAGTACTGAAGCTAAGGGTGGTCAAGGAAAACTTTAAATTTTTTTTTTAATTGTAAAAAATGCTTTATTTATTTTAAAGCTTAAATTTAAAAATGTATATTTTACAAAAACCAGACGTGTACCTGATTTGCTGATGTGTTTTCATGTTTATAATCAATTATCCTTACTAATATTCAATTACATTTTCAGCTCACCCGATTGCTTTATTCCATCGCTTCTTTTTGTATGGGAAAGCACCTGATCTTCAGCATCTCTACTTTACTCTGTGTGGGCTTGCTATTGGAATCTTCAACTATGGTAAGTCAGGCATTAAACCGGGTTTTCCGAGGTGTGGAAGAGGTGTGCAGAGTCCGTTTTCCTCTTGTCTAAGGTAATTTAATAGTACTGTTTTCCTATAAGTGGAGCGGACCATTAAAATCGCTTCTCCGCACTCTGTGCTCCATTTCCGCACCTAGGAAATTGGCATTAGAAGATATCTGTAAACCATGATTGACTATTAAGGCTGTTTGGTTACAAGGGAACTCCTGCGATGAGCTCAGTAGTTTCACAAGTCACCGTATGGTACCACTGTTGCTTTAAACATGGTGTAGAGCAAGCCAGGCTATTCAGCCGCGGATTGAAATTTCCAAAAATAAGGTACGAATCCACTGGTTAAAGGAAAAAACAACTTGTACAGAATTCAACGTAAAACGTTGTTATCCTCAGAAATTAGCATATTTTTCTCCACTAAAATTGTGCCAAAGCATTTTTAAATGTCGTTTAAAATGACGAGTTTACTATAATTTTTGTCCCGTCTTTTCCCTCCATTTGGCAATACAATTCCAATGGGACCGGCTACGTTCCAAGCAGTGCTGCTATCTGTGGGTGTTTAGCAAACTACGTCGACTGTTGTTGTGAAGCAGGACATCCTCGCACGTTATTTGCTATTCGTCAGACCGAAATTGGAAAGCCAATCACACACGGCAATCGGATTTGTTCGACGCTGAGGGCTGCGCCGCACAGGGGATACGCCCGCCATTTGACGTGCCGCCGCGAACGTGTTAATACTTATTAAGCCTACCTGGATGTTAATATTTAATAATAGGCTCATTAAAAATTATTTGTTTGCCCATAAACCTATTAAGAGCTCCTTAAAACATCTAAAATTCTAAAACAGAAACAATTACTGAAAGTTTATTTTACAAATCAATCTTACAAACTAAATATTTTATATATTACTATCTTACTAATTAAGAAGTGTTTTATTATTAGTAAATTTATTTGGGGTTGATTAGCAGGTTTTTTTCTGTAAATACAAACGCTCAGCCAAATCAGAACCATTAGGCATCATGTATTTATTATGGAATCATTGAAAAACACATTTCAATTAAGAGAAATTTCTCCCGATTCGAGAGAGCTGCTGGTCAATTATTGCTCTCAATAAAGGTTAGGGTGGGCTCCAATTCATCAGACTATAGGACCTTCAGGGCAAAAGCCCCACACTCCAGGCAAAGAAATAGACCAACCAAGCCCTTTACGATAGTAGAAATTACTGTATAGTAATTGTTTAAATTACAAGAACAATAATAAAGTTCACTTTCTTTGTTGCAGGATGGGATATATTTCACACCTTTGCTACAATTGTTTGTGTCTACATCGTACTCAGATTAATTGGTGGAACGCTATTTTCTGCCGTTTTAATCCTAATTTTTACCATGGCTTATCTCTTAATAGGTGAGTGTAACAAATTGTCTTAATTTTTACAACTAATCACTACAGTAGACTCCCTCTTATCCGGACACCGTTTAACCGGACATCGGTTTAACCGGACTACACTCGGCGAATATTAGACGACTGTTCTGGAAAGATTTGAGACCAGTGTTTACACGTCTTAATACAATGCTCTCCTAAATTTATGTCGCATATCACAATAAACGGTCCGTTTTAACGAGCTTTTGCGGACGTGGGTTTAACTGGAAAAGTTGTTATCCGGACTGGCTTCGGTCCCGAGGAGTCCAGATAAGAGGGAGTCTACTGTAATTTTGAATTAAAATACATACATTATTATCCTCTCCTGTTCCGGTTATCTCTGGGTCTGGGTGTGTGCTCTCCAACTTCTTCTTTTTAGTGATGATAAACTTTTATTGTTTACGTTCCTTTATGTGCTGTAGCTATGTATTTTGATACTTTGAATACTAATCTTTAATATAATTTTGACTAACTACTTTTTAAAGTATAAAATAGTGTGAGTAATGGTTTCATACTCAAACAAAAGTTTACAATACCTTGATGTTTTTATTAAACACATTAAATCAATGATGAGTTTCTTTTTCATTTACAAAGTAAAACGTACATTGCACCCGAGTTTCTATGTGGTCTTTTACAGGATATTATGTGACAAGTACAGAAACTTACGACATCAAATGGACAATGCCACAATGTGTGTTGACCCTGAGACTTACGGGACTGGCTTTTGACTTGTATGATGGAGCTCGGCCACCGGTGAGATATACTAAAGTTTTTAGTCTCAATTTTTTCAATTTACAATGTCAAATAAAATAAATAAAGTAAGCCTATACCAAGAAAGAAGTAGCATAACAAATTATTTTAAAATTCCCGCATCACTTGGCTGATAAATGCGCATTTGCCAAATTTTATGAGTAACCATTCAAACAGGTTCAAACATTTTAATTATATAATGGTGATCTATTTAGAGGCATGTATCAATAAATTAATTTAAAATAACCCTATGTTTTCCAGGTGGCTTTCACCCCCTCCCCTCCTACTTCTGATTTGGTTCTTCCTCTGTTCGATCACAACAACATAATAGTCGTTAAATTTAAAACCTCTGTAAAAATTTACTAATATTCCTTATAACAAATCTTTAAGTTGATTAATTCCCCTTGGATAATCTATTCAGCATTACTTTCTTCAGGAGTAAACTACTCCTTCAATAAGAAGAACTAATTCATAAGGAGAAAGTGAAGAAAGATCCTTTTCTCTAAGATCTTGCGAAGATTTAACTTACATATTGAAAAATTCCCGTTGAGTAACCAACAATCACTATATCCCCTTAAAAATCAAGCTGACAAATTTGTAAACGTCATTAATTTTATGTTTGAAATTATTGTTTTGTATCATACAAGTTGGTAACAATAACTAATTATCTCATAAAATAACCCATTAAAGAAAAATAAGTTTGATTTTCTATTACATAATACAATTTATTTTATGTTACAGGAAAGTTTGTCTGCGGAAAACAAAAAAGTAGCCCTCAGCAAGTGTCCGTCAATTTTGGAAATCATGGCTCACTCGTACTTTCCTGCCAGCTTTTTAGTTGGCCCTCAATTTTCCATGAAGCGGTATCAAGATTTTGTCGATGGAAAGTTTAGAGGATCTGTAAGTATTATTGTGTTAGAAACAAATTGAGCTTTGTATTGCAGTTCAGTCTGAACTGTTTATTTGGTTTTTACTTGTTATCTTTAAAAATGTGATATTTTTCTCTTAGTGTAGCATAGTTTCCAATAATACTGTCTGATAAATACAAGGTTAATTGTTTTATTTATTTTTTCTGATGTGAGAAATTCACCTTTCAATGAATTTTATACATTTATTTAGTATCTGTCAACGCCTACTTTGAAATAATAACATTTTTTGTTAGGGAGGCACTAATTGAAAATGATAACTTATTGTAGTAGAATGTTATAAACTATTATGTTTGACACAGAATGTACATTTCAGGAGACAGGCCTACCAGACTGTTTGGGAGCCGCTGCTTATCGTAGTCTCACTGGAGTTTTCTACCTGGCTATCTATCAGTTGGGTTGCCTGTACTTCCCTGACGACTACCTGATCAGTGAAGAATTCCTGGTAACATACTCTTCCACAGTCTCTACCACCTATACTCCATCCCCACTCCCCCACCCGTACTCCTCCCATCAATCCAGAACCTTTTTTTAACACCAATGGGTCATGGTTTTTATGTTTGAAAACAATTCATCTGTCTTGTCGCCTTCACTACAATGTGGAACAGCTGTAAAATATTGAGAAACTAATGAACAATGTGCTGTATACAGTACTAGTTGAAAATAGTTCACTGACAGATGCAACCACTTACCAGGTCACGTCATGATGAGAACGTCTCGTCAAACCAAAGTAGTAATTTTTAGTTGTTCTGTTTTAGTTGTTATCTTGTTTTAGTTGTTTTTGTTAATAGGCTCATTAAACTACCTTGAAGGGTTAAAAGTAAATCTCATATTGTTTTTATTGCTTTAACAAATTTACCTACGACTGTCTTTTTAAGTAGCCGTTTCAGTTCAGTTCTTAGAATTGAAAAGTTTCACATAAAAGCATTGTTTACTTTCATAACAGCATAGTTTTACTCATAACAACACGGATAAAGAACCAATCAGGTTCAAGGATGGAGAGAGAAGAATTAAAATTGTAATGATTTGAACTTCAACCAATCAGCTATTCAGGCCAATTAAATTGTTGGTTTAGTGGTGCAATTAGTGTTTGGTACAATGTTTCGTTGCATCACTGTCAGTGGCATTGAGAGGTTATAAACGAAATCATAACCTCTCTTAGAAGTTGTGAGTAGTGATTTTTAGTAATTAAATACTGTCGTAGGTCAAGTAGTGTACGCAACTCGTGTAAATAGTGTTGACGACACTCGTAGAAGTTTTTAAGGCACTCACCAAGGCTCATACCTTAAATTTTCTACTCGTGTTGTTTACACTATCTTTACGCAATTGTTGTGTAAACTACTATTAACTGATCTAAGTTCCATAAATATTACATTAATCTTTTTGACTGCATCAAATACTAGTATTAGTGGTGATTCTGTTGCTGATGACATATCTTATTGTTTACTAACAGTTTACTTAGTACTTGTCAACTAAACAAAGATAAACATTTTCAAGCCCATCTTAAAACTAGTAAAAAATTGTTAAATGGTTTTCATTGTGTTTCAGTCCCTGGGAATCATAAAAAGACTGTTCTACATGGGCATCTGGGGCCACATTGCATTGTACAAATACATCTGTATCTGGTTGCTGTGCGAAGGTGTCTGCATTGAAATTGGTGAGTTGGTAACAAGTTTGGCTCACCACCTGACTTTTGTCTGGTTTTATTCAGAACTCTCGGCTTTCAATTAAAAGCAATTTTTTTTGAAAGACTTAAGACTAGCAAAGAGTTTACTAATAATTTGGTATTACCTCGTCAAGTAGTCCAAATTTTGTTGATGTTATGTGTGTGTATGACAGTAATGTCGTTTATGTTTTTTACCATGACGATGCCGTACTAACGGTGAAGCGTGTAGGTTTTTAACCTAACATCAACAAATTTGAGATTACTTCATGAGGTAATTATACCATATTATGAGTCATTTATAGTAATCCAGGGGCCTCCAACGTGCAATTTTAAAGAGATGGAACGAGTACTAGATGTTCTACTTTCTCAAGTACCTATTTCAATGGGGGGGGGGGGGGGTTTCTTCACAAAAGTAGACTAGCTGCTTTTGAGTCCCTGATTATGTATATACGTAAATTAAAGCAAAACCCTGCAAATTTCTCACCTATGGGACCAGGTTTTCCATTGGATTAGTTCTACAGGGTACCAATTCTACATTGAGAACCAGTTCTGGTTGAAACATTCACGTACAAATGGGCCATTTCTGATTTTTATTCCAAAATACTTTCAGTACTTGTACTGATGATAATGTGGAATCTTTGATTGTCAAAACTTTGGGACTTTTTTTACTCAATACCAATTCTAGATTCTCCTAATTCAACAGGGTGTCTACTGGTTACTGAGGTCACTTTAAAGTAATTGATTTTACCACGGTTCAGGGAAGTGACTAAATTCATTTTAAGATCCCAAAAGTCATGGAAAAAACGGTCCTAACTGAAATAAAGTTTCCCGAACCTGCCTTTAATTTTGGACCTTGCATCCGGTTAAATTTATAGTGCAGTTTTTATCACAGAGCGAACATATTTTGGGAGCAGGCAAAGAGTTAAAAATTGCTACGGCACAAAATATTGAATGCCCAACCATTTTCAAGACACTAAAGAGTACTGCCTTATCGCCCTTATTGGTTATTAAAAATGTTGCATCTTTACGTCGTCCCCTCTAAAATCACTGAAATTTTGTTTGATCAAATGGTAGACACCCTGCTCAAGAAAATGTTGTCATTGTAACATCAGTTCTCTTAAAGAGATTTTAAAGATGTTAGTATTACAATACCACAATCTATTAATTATTTTTGTAGGCTAATCTTAACATGTGTTTAGGACTGACATACAATGGAAAGGATGAGAAAGACAAACCTAAGTGGGACGGGTGTGCTAATGTCGACCTGATGAAGTTTGAAGGAGCCACCAAGTTCGGACACTATGTAGAGTCATTCAACATCAACACGAACCATTGGGTTGCCCAGTAAGTTGTGGAAAATTGATATAGTTGAGAATGGGACAGTAAAAATCTTAAAGACCATTTTGAAATACAGTAGAGTCCCGTTAGTCCGAAATGGTTGGGACCGGGCCCCATTTCGGATTACCAAATATTTCGGATTAAACGTTTTTTTTTTAATTTTGAAAAAAAAATTTATTTTTTGAAATTTTTTTTCGTCTTAAGACGCAGGCACGAGCCCGGGATTGTTTTTCACATTACTTAAGGCTAGACCTAGTGGCTGCAGCATTATCACTTAATAAAATCCATTTGTGATTTGGCGGACGAAAATAAAAGATGTTAATAACAAAAATGGTGAAATATTTACTAACATAGGCCTACTCTACAAAAAAGTCTATCTCGCCCGGCCGATACAGAATACTTCGACGAGGTACAGCTAACTGTGTTAAAGGTTTAATAGAAAAAAATTTTCAAAAAAATTTTAAAATTTTAAAAATTTTAATTTAAAAAATATATGGTTTCGGATTAAGCGGACTTTCGGATTACCGAAGTTCGGATTATCGGGACTCCACTGTATTACCAAATTTTCAGTTTTAAATAAGTACACTCTATTGTTTACTCAGCTTTAGCCAAGGAGGATAAATTCAATGTGTTGTTTGGATCATCTTTGCATCGAGATGATATTATAAAATGCAATTAAAGTAGCATATTATGATCAACGATATAAACAGCTCATGGATCGCTGGCTCAGTGTTGGCCGCATGGTCTAGCTTCCACCACTCCGGACTGGTAGAAGCCGCTGCAGATCATACACTTACCATTATAAAACGCACCTTTTTAATTGCTGGTCTGTTAAAATAGTGATATAAATATCACTTAATAATATATAGATAGTTAATATATAGATAGTTAATATATAGATAAATATTGCTAAGGCATGTCAAATCCTTTTTACTATTCAATGCTTTGTCTTGCAGAAAATAACTCATTATCGAATTCTTTAAAAAATACACATTTTTTCACTAAAGTCGATTTTAGATGTTTTTAGACAACTGATATTGCTAGTTCAAAATTGTACACGGTAAAATAATAAGCAATTGAAAAGACATAATAGAAAGTACAATCTTTGTAATTTCCAATCTGTTCTATTAAACAAAAACATATTACATCTTAAACATTTCTGAATAGAATAATTTTGTTAAGTTTTTGCCGCAGACCTGTTGGACGTAAATGTGATACATTTTTTCTTTCACTGTGTGATGAGAATGTATATTACAAAATAGGTCATAAAACAGTATTAATTTTTCAAGTTACTTGTAGATAGAAAGGTAGAATTACTTGTCTGCATACAGAATGGGTTTACAATAGCAGAGGGTAGATCATTTTTATAGATTAAGAAAAGAAGGGGGCTAAGGACTGAACCTTGTGGCACTCCCCTCTTGACTATCACTTCATCTGACCATCTTCCTTTAATACAAACTGTTTGTTTCCGATTTTGCATATAGCTTCTTAAAAATATAATGGAGGGCCATTAAATCCATAATACTGTAATTTAGAGATGAGAATATATCTGTCACACCAGTGCGTTAGGGTAGGTATAGGTCTCTCTATCTTCTTCAAAACCTCCACCACCTCCCAACTACCCCCACTACTCCACTACTCTCTTCTCCACATGCCTTTTTACCTCATCTATCCATCCGGCCTTCTCCCCTTTATCACCTATTATCTCAATTTTTTTTAAACTTATTTTTCTTACATTCCAAACCATACAAAATTTGCTTGGCAGTTGCAAGCGCCAGGAGATGAGAATCACTATAATAGTTCTCAGTTAAAGCTCCTCAACCAACATTATCAAACTTTTTGTTGAATTTTTAAAAATGAGGAGAGTATTGAATAATCTTTCAGAGAAGTTCAATTCTAAAGAACATATTTAAAACAAGTCAAACTTGTTTGATCAACACCTTCTCTTAGACAATTATTTATCAATCATGTTTCCCCAGTTGAGTTTGGATATGACATAGTTCATGGTGGCCACAGACTAGGAATTCTGGAACAACCAGGAATTAGGCAGGAATTTTGAAATTTCACAGGGAAAACCTGATTTTAATTAGCGGTCATGGCATAATTGTGAACGTCTTCTGCGATCATGACAAAATTGTGAAAATCTTCCGCAGTCACGGCAAGTTGTGAACATTGTCTTGGGTAACGGCTAAACCAAGAAAGTTTTCCCTTCGTCTCTGTAAAATCAAGAACTTTTTTTGCAGAAACGGAGAAATCGTGAACAAAGTCTCCTATGATTGAGGCAAAACAGTCCATTTTCAATTGTGCATTTTTGCAAACTTTCTGTGGTCGTGAAAATACTGAAAATATGTGCCTGGCTCAATTCGACCTGAGGTTGGCCTGATGATCATTTTAGACCCATATCGATGCCTGGGGCCAACTGTCGACCTAACCTAACCCGAAAATATCGGGAACCTACCTGGAGACCCCTAGTTAAAAGGTACCACACTAAGTGATCAGGAATCATGACAGGAAAATCAGGTTTTACCACAGAAAAAAACAGGGAAAATGTGTGAATATATTCAGTGGCTTCTCTGTAGTAGCACCCGTATTAAATTGTAAAATAAACTGTTACCTGTTAAATATCCTTTGGTTTGTCATATGCATGATATAACTATTGTTTTTGTGACAAAAATCACATCATTTTGTAAATATTAAGTGTCCTGTGTTCTGTATAAACAAGTGTATTTAATGAATTGTTTTAATGAGGATCGACCTGACTATGTGACCGTCGTCACGAAACTGGTAGTCATATGACAAACCTAATTATATTGAACAGGTAACAGTTTATTTAACAATTGAAATCTTCAAAATCCAGTAGTAGGAAAATGAACTCTGCACGCTTATGTCAAACAGTGTTTAGTTTACCATAGACCTTATTGCCTCGGTCCATGAGGTTATTGAAGTTCAATAGCTTCCTAGTTATGCCATTTTCCTCTTACATACCTAATCATGTTGTACAATTTGCAGGTATATCTACAAGAGACTCAAGTTCCTGGGCAACAGATATCTGTCCCAGCTAGGAGTGTTGTTGTTCTTGGCAGTGTGGCATGGACTGCACTCTGGCTATTACATGTGCTTCTTCCTTGAGTTTACCTGCCTTGTAATGGAAAAAGATGTATGTTCTGCAATAATATTGTTTGTATACATTTACTTTCTCCCATACATTGCACATGGAGAAAGTATTTTGATCGACATTTTGGAGTTTTGGGTGGACATATCCAAATTTGAGCCCCCCCCCTGAACCTAGAAAACTGTGTTTTTTTTTTTTTTTTTTTTTTTTTGGGTGTGTGAATGTGTAAAAAATTGTATTAAAGCATTTTAATCAATGTATGTGGTAACTATCCATGCCTAAGTGTTCTTTTATTCAATTTTGATTTTGAATGGGGATTTCCCCATGAAATAAAAGTAAAAAAAAAACAGTTGTAACGACTTTGATTGAAATTTAATATGTTATAGTTCTTTTAACCCTGTACAAGATGGTACAACTACCATTTGCTGTAAGAATTTCAGTTTAAAAGTTATTGCAATTTTTATGATTTTCTCCATAAAAACCCACAATTCACCCCTCTGGTAACCCACAATAATTATTTAATTTTTTGCTCTAAAATTACTGTAGTAGAATGTGTAGCTAATAGGAGAAAGTGTGTGACAGTTTACTGATACGGTTATTTTTTTTTTTTCTTTTTTAGTTTGAAATACTTTTACTGAATTTTACTTTTATTGGCCATTTGATGGAATACTAGGTCAAGCAATAATAATAATGTAAATCAAACCGGTGATGAAATCAATTTTTTTAGTGATATAGGTTAATTGTTAAAAAATATATATACTGCAGAGTCCTACAAATCCAATTGGGATCAAAACCTGTTAAGATAACTGAATTGTTTAAACTAGCCGGAAATTCAGTAAAATTACATTAAAATCAAAACCATGTATTTTAAAGAAAACTAGTTGTTCTGCCCGTGCTTCGCCACGGGGCGAGAATGCAGAGAAGATATGGTGATTGATTCTTCACTGCCAATGCAAACTCTGGTTGATTTAGTGCTTGTTATTGTTGTAAATAAATTTTATCAATATCCGTGTCACCAGGAAAAATACTCTACAGATGCATTTTTTTCCCAGTTGAAACAGAAAGGATCCGTCTAAACTTATAGTTCTCATGTCACTTAATTATATACAAAACATTTGTCAGCAACATCAATAATTGATTTGTTTCTAAAATAAATAATATTGAACTAATGAACTTATAGGTAAACAATCAAAACAGGATTAAAAAATTTAAACACTATCCCAAATTATCAGAAAAACGTTCTGTTACTTCTCTTTGTGCAATATGGAAATATATAGTAGAATCAAAAGGTTAACTCAAAGAAAAGTAAACAACAAACTAAAATAAAAATAAATATAATAACTGAGGTATCTTTTAATATTTAAAATGTAATTGAATACAGCCAACAGTGTGATTAATAAGAACCAACAGAACTATGATTTAATTTTTTTTATATCTACGCCTGTAGGGTTTTTATGACTTTTGTTTGGGAACGTTGTTCTTGGTTTTCTGGTTGGCTTGACATCCTCAAAACACATAGCTTTATTTTCCATTTAAATACACACAGAGTAACCTTTTTATCCAACAAGTAGTTTGGATTAGTGGCACTCAGGTGTTAAGTTCAACAATTTCTGGTAATAGTTAATATTTACAGTTACTGTTGTTGCAGCTGGAGTCGATGTTGGCACGCAACCAGAAGGCGCTGGAGTTCCTGTCACAGCCGGGCGTGAGTCACGCAAGGTGGGTCGTACTCAAGTTGTACACGCTGGTGTTCATGGGCTACTGCATGGCTCCGTTCGTGCTGCTGTCCGTACACAAGTGGTTCGCTGCGTTTGTCAACACTCTGTTTGTGGGACACGCGCTGTGGATGGGCTGGCATCTGTACCGACCTCTCGTCAAGATGATGCTGCCGCCCGCCAAGGAACGTACTAGCTGAACAAGTAACAGTCAACGTAACTGTACATAGCTCAATACCAGGCTCAGTGGAGGAGCAGCCGAATAGTCAGGACGATGGGTTGTAGGAATACACTAGCATGTTCTACTTAAACACTTTTTGTAGCTCATGGGTAATTTAGGAAAAGAGATAGAGTTTTTGCATCAACAACTTATTACTTTTCCTGTATTTGAAATTCGCTTAACCTAATTATGATAGCACAACCCTGGCTACTTAAAAGTGCGTCCTATTTCTGCTCTTTGTTTTCAATATATATGAATTTTATATAAATGTTTATTTGTATTAATATTCTGTTACCAATACTAAGGTAGCTTTTAAAGTTTTGTATGATTTGTTATGTAGCAATAGCAATACTGATAAGGTTGTTTGTGTCAAGACAATAATTGACTAAATTATTTGAAATTGTGTCGAGGACGTTGGACTTGTAAACATGCAATGATTGTACCAAAGGATTTCAGATATTGAATATGTTTACTAAGCAAAGTACAATGCCTCACAAGGTGGAAGTAAACAGCCATAGTTTATTAGGATATGTACAAAAACTTGTTTCATAGTTGATTTTTAGAATATGAAACCTTGACGTTATATTTAAAATTGATAATTTTGTTCTTAATTTCTCTAGAAAATTACAACGAATACGAAATAGAAGTATTTCAACATTTAAGAATGATCCGAATCCGACTAATACCCCTCCCTAAAGTACACCAATCATGCCCATCACAATCAGCTAATGTTTTTTTTTATAAGGGTTGATTTCTTTACAATTTTACAATATGTAACTGCCATTAATAATATCTTTTGAACATGTTGACCTCTTTGTCTTTTAAACTGATCTTTAAAACTACTGAGGTGTTAAAAAATATTTACACTGCCAATAAAGAACATTCCAAAAATAAAATTAAATGATCGCTAGGTAAGGTATTCAAAAATGTCAAAAGCTCGTTAGATTAATCGGCAAATTTTGGATTATTAAGGGCTGATATTTATAGTGTATTGTTTAACACGTTTACGTTATGGAAACACTATATTTGGGCGTACTCCTTATGTAATTCAATTTGTTTTGATTTAAAAATCAATCTAATGCATGTGCATTGTGCAGTTTAGTCCAGTCAATGAATGATCCAAAAGTAGGTGTAGAGTGCGTGAGCAGGTAACTAAGCGATTCCTTCAGAAACTTGTTCAGGGGGCTTAGGGTGTTAACATACCAAAAGTCCTGACTCCTAGGTGGTGAGCCAGGGGGTGGAGAGGGGAAAAAGGGGGGGGGGAAAGGTACGCATTTTGGGTTTTTTGATTATATCTCGAAAACTATCAACTTTTTGTATACTATAGTAAATTATAAAATTGAAGAAGATTAAATTTTCTACAAGAAAAGTATATAATGTGTTTATTTTGGTTCAACAGATTACGAGTTATAACTTATTTAATTGATATCTTATTAAAATACTCCTTCCATAAGAAATACATGTAAATTAGTATGCGAAATGGGGCGAATCCTATCCGCCCAAAGGAAATATAACTGATATTCTGGAAATATTGACAAAATTTCCAGTAATTTGACACTTTAATCATGAAATTTTGTCAAAAATTAAAGCGAGGGTGAGCGTTTAAAAATGGGATGATTTAAGGTTTTTTTTATATTTCCAATAAAAAAAACACCAAAACTCGAAATTTTGTTACCTCGCCCTCGCCTTAATTTTGGATCAATTTTAATGATTAAAGTGTCAAATTACTGGAAATTTTGTCAAGATTTCCAGAATATCATTTATATTTCCGTTGGGAGGATAGGATTCGCCCCATTTCGCATACTAATTTACATGTATTTCTTATGGAAGAAGATTTTAATAAGATATCAATTAAATAAGTTATAACTCGTAATCTGTTGAACCAAAATAAACACATTATATACTTTTCTTGTAGGAAATTTAATCTTCTTCAATTTTATAATTTACTATAGTATACAAAAAGTTGATAGTTTTCAAGATATAATCAAAAAACCCAAAATGCGTACCTTTTCCCCCCCTTTTTCCCCTCTCCACCCCCTGGCTCACCACCTAGGAGTCAGGACTTTTGGTATGTTAACACCCTAAGCCCCCTGAACAAGTTTCTGAAGGAATTGCTTAGTTACCTGCTCACGCACTCTACACCTCATTCCTTGACTGGACTAAGTTGGTATTTAGGTTTGTTTAGTTATATTTGACGTTTTATCTTTATTTATATGTGTGAAAATTAGGTATTTCATTGACTATTAAAGCTGGTAATGTCTTAAAATATTTATATTCATTTTAGCGAATTTCCCATATAGGGAATAAGCTATTACCGTAGGTCTCATGGTAAGACCTAGACTCGGGACCGATTTAATTTTTCGTTTTGAGGTCCCCAGAAGCCAAAAACACCATCCGTTCAAATTCATATATATATATATATATATTTATATATGTGTCCGTTAGCGCGATAACTCGAGCAAATATGATCCGATTTTGATTAAATTTGGTACAAACGTGTAAACCTACGTTTATTCGAACGAGTTCGCGAAGCAGCATAATCGGACCATGGGAACAGGGGTTTATGGGGGGTTTTATGGGGTAAAAATGGGGTTTTCCCATTTTTAACCCTAAAATAAAAATTTTTGCAATTTCTTCCTCAACCATTTTGTAGAGCTTAAAAAAAGAAATAATTTAGTATATTGAAGCGCTGTTTTATGCCCAACAGTCACGGAGAAAATTTTAAAAAAGTGTAATTTAAAATTCCCATGTTGTTCTTATGGAGAAAATGAAAACTGTTGTAGTTTACTTGTTTATGGGTATATGTTGATCAAATTTGGCAAATTTATTTATTTCATTTTATACTATTGGTATTGACATATGATCAAAAAACACTTTTTTACCTTCCCCGTAGCAGCAAACCTAAGCTCTGGTTAAATCTAATGTTATTTAAATTGTGAATAAAAATGTCTCATTTATGGAAATATTTTAGTAAAAATGTAATCAGACAAGTTGAAATTCGCTAAGTCTGCAGGTTTGCTGCGGCGGGGGTATTTGATAGTTTACTATATAAAAAAAATAATATTTTAACACTTAACTTGGTACACTCTTGCTTCATTAAATCACTACAGTAGTCTATTTCATTATCTTGGTCCCGCATTCACTGTAAGTGCAAAGTACACAAGCAACAATTTGAAAAATTAGTTGTGATTATTTGATCACAAACTAATTTGTTAAGTTTTGTTAATGTTGTCCAAAAGAATCTAATTTGCAGTGTGTGTTCTACCTTGGAAGCTATTCATTTTATCTTTGCAAAATCAATGACTAATCTTAATATAATACACCACTAGCAATATCAAATATATAGTTTAAAATCTGTGCTAATATTTAATATCTAAGTTGTTGCTGTAGTATATAGTTTTAGAGCTATATTTTTGTACCAGATTTTGCATGTTATGTATTATTCAGAATTACATAAAGACTTATGAACGTTAACATTTGTATAAAATGAAATATATATGTCAGCCTTGTTTACCATTGATTTTATAATTCTTAGACTGAGTATAGGTTTTGCATATCTACCAAACTGAAATTTTACGTATATGTAACACAATCCCACTCATAGTTCATCCACCTTGAGCTAAACAGTGATGTTTATAAATTTTTTTAACATTAGATGAACATGGGTGATCATTTTGTAAATGAGTTGTTTTGAACAGTGTTTTAATCATAAATGTTGCAACCACTCTAAGCAGCTGAGTGATAGAGCTAGCCTAAAAATCGGATGATTTTATTTGATCATGAAACAATTTTCACCTTGTTTAATTAGAAACTAGGCCTCATATACTACATCCTTGGCTTTCGACTGTCTTTGAGCTTTGGATAAATTTTTCAGGCAAAGAAGCAGCTAATCTTAGGCAGCTACACACATATTAACACTATCCCCTAATTATTTATCTTTGCCTTTAATTATGTTCTCTGGTGTATCAGCGTTTCATGAATCTAATATTTCCTTTATCAGTACTTAACATTGATGAAGAAATTCAACTTATAAAACCAAAATCGAAACCTATAACCTATCGACCTATGTTATCGAACTTATAAAACTTATAAGGTCGAAGTGTTATAAGATGAATTTTAAGTGGTATGGGAAAATTTTGTATTATCGAGATATTCTTAACAAAGAGGTTCATTTTATTGAGGTTTAATACTGCCGTTATTCGTCTTATGGAGGATTCTCCTCGCTCTGAGTGAATGACTGAGGAAGGAAGAGGGATGGGTGGGGTTTCATGTTGGGACAAGCTTATGTTAGTTTTGAAAACTACACACTATGGAGATTAAGATCTTGAGGAATTTGTCATATAGAGGTCGCATTTGTCTGAGGTTTTGTGGTTAATGAGTCCTAGCCCATATCACAAACAAATTCGTTTTATGGAGGTTTCTAACCTAATTACTACGTTGTATAGAGGTGTTTTTAACATTGACCTTTGTGAAAATTTTAAGGGTATTTTTTTTTTAATTTTTCTCATCGAGGAATCTTTACCGAGGTTTGTACTAACAAGGTTTGGCAGTATTGTCTTTAAAAATAAAAGGGTTCTTTCCCTTTATAATTTTAGGTAATAGTCTACAAATCTAGAATGTCATCAATAGTTTTTGTGTCTTTTTTTATTCCTCCGATAAATATATCTGGAATGTTTTTACTAATATAATTTGAGTTAGGGGTAGGTACTGCAGTTTCTAGACTAAAAATTATATAGGTTTACCATCAGAAAAGTCACACAATTTGATCGATATTAAAAAGAAAATAAATTGCTTTAGGTTTGAAAGATGAGTTTTTGGCAGGTCAAAATGTAATGTTAACCTAAAGAAAAGTCAAAATTATTGAGTTATTCAGGTAATCCCAATAAATATAGCATTAGGTTGGCTTTAGAAGTTCTTATGTGGCAAATTCATTTATGATGGCATTTAAAGACAGTGAATATTAATTAAAACCTTATTAGACTTTTTGGATATAGATACCTTGGGAAGTAATTAAAAATGCATAAGGGTTAGAATATTTCAATTATCGACATTTCCCATGATAAAGCAATGGAAATGTGTTGTTTATAAATAGTCACTTAGCTTTTCTTCTTACAATTATAAGAATAACCTTTGCCATGTTGATATAGGAAGCCTATGGAAGAGTTTAGCTATTTATAATCTAGAATACATTTTAGTCTGAGATAACTTGAACAACAAACGTAATCTTCTAGCAACTTCTTGTTATTTCTCTCTACCACCTAGGCATTGTTATTTTAACTTGTTTTGGTTCCTATTCAGTTATATGCCATCAAGGAACCAGTTTAAGCAATTTTTTGGTAAATTCTTTTGTTTCTATTTATTGCACCTAGCAGTGTGCTCTCTTTAGAGGTTTTATTTTATTAGTTACACTTTTATCTGTATATGTGTGTTTGAGTTGTGTTTTATAAAATAAAAGATTATTTAAGAAATTTTAGTGTCTTATTCCAAGTTCACCTTTGCAAATTTCATCTGTGGCGTCCCAGGGGGGGGGATGGGAGGGATATATCCCCCCACCCGAAATATATTATATTTTATTAGCTAACATAAATACATTTTTAGGCTTTAAATTCCACATGTCTTCCGGGGAGGACCCCGGACCCCCCTTTTTTCTGGGGGATATTCAATACCACCAGACCCCATGGTGGTCATCCCCCCCCTAATTAAATCCTGGGACCGCCACTCAATTTCATTTTATTTAAAAATATTTTACCTGGTCTCAAAAAAAGGGTGATTCTTAAAATGTATAGATGAGTTTTGTATGTTAAAATATTCATGTGATAAATCAGGGAGGCGTTTGTATTATAAACACAATTTTTTACATATAAAAATTTGTAAATTAAAACCCTTAGTAAAGTAGAAATGCTGGCCCATTGAGACTCGAAACCATAAATGTTGTAATTTGATCATTTAATTGCATAATTTGTCATGTTAATAATTGAAAATCAAATTATCAATAACTTATCCACTAATTTTATAACCTGTGGATAATCACAGTTTATGTCAATTTGTATTTTCAATTGATAAGTTTAACATTTAACAACTGAAAGATGGGATTAAATGAAATATATTGACATTCTGCTGAAACTTGATTGCAAATACACCTAAAACAAAT